ACCATACACAAAAATAAACTCAAAATGGATTAAAGACCTAAAAGTAAAGCCAGACACTATCAAACTCTTAGAGGAAAACATAAGGAGAATACTGTATGACATAAATCACAGCAAGATCCTTTTTGACCCACCCACCTCCTAGAGAAATGGAAATAAAAACAAAAATAAACAAATGGGACCTAATGAAACTTAAAAGCTTTTGCACAGTAAATGAAACCATAAACAAGACGAAAAGACAACCCTGGAGTGGGAGAATATACTTGCAAATGAAGCAACTGACAAAGGATTAATCTCCAAAACATACAAGCAGCTCATGCAGCTCAATATCAAAAAACAACCCAATCCAAAAATGGGCAGAAGACCTGAATAGACATTTCTCCAAAGAAGATATACAGATTGCCAACAAACACATGAAAGAATGCTCAACATCATTAGACAAATGCAAATCAAAACTACAATGCGATATCATCTCACACCGGTCAGAATGGTCATCATCAAAAAATCTACAAACCATAAATGCTGGAGAGGGTGTGGGGAAAAGGGAACCCTCTTGCACTGTTGGTGGGAATGTAAATTCATACAGCCACTATGGAGAACAATATGGAGGTTCCTTAAAAAACTAAAAATAGAACTCTCATATGACCCAGCAATCCCACTACTGGGCATATACCCTGATAAAACCATAATTCAAAAAGAGTCATGTACCACAGTGTTCACTGCAGCTATATTTACAGTAGCCAGGATGTGGAAGCATTCTAAGTGTCCATTGACACGTGAATGGGTAAAGATGTGGCACATATATACAATGGAATATTACTCAGCCATAAAAAGAAACGAAATTGAGTTATTTGTAGTGAAGTGGATGGACCTAGAGTCTGTCATACAGAGTGAAGTAAGTCAGAAAGAGAAAAACAAATACCGTATGCTAACACACATATATGGAATTAAAAAAAAAAGTTCTGAAGAACCTAGGGGCAAGATGGTAATAAAGACACAGACCTACTGGAGAATGGACTTGAGGATATGGGGAGGGGGTAGGGTAATCTGGGACAAAGAGCGTGGTATGGACATATATACACTACCAAATGTAAAATAGCTCATGGGAAGCAGCCGCATAGCGCAAGGAGATCAGCTTGGTGCTTTGTGACCACCTAGAGAGGTAGGATAGGGAGGGTGGGAGGGAGATGCAAGAGGGAGGAGATATGGGGATATGTGTATATGTATAGCTCATTCGCTTTGTTATAAAGCAGAAACTAACACACCATTGTAAAGCAATTATACTCCAATAAAAAGTTAAAAAAAAATTTACCATGGCTGCTGGGTAACATAACCAGTGTTCACATAATTCTGCCTTCATATTTCGTTTCCCTGATACTGTTCTGCTATGCCTTGGAATTATGAGGGAAGAAGAATTAGATGCTCATCTTCTGGTAGCTGATAGCTAGCTTCTGTTAGCTATTTGTTAGTAATTGTCCACAGTACATCTTTCCCTCCTTCCTGACTCTGTTTAAATGACTGAACATGTAAGACTAAAATGGCCAGCTAATGAACATAGGGAAGTGGATCCCAGGAAAACCTGAAGAAGCCATGAGAAAAAAATGTGGGATCTCATTTGCAAGGAGAAAGGATGGATAAAAATTCCAAATAAAATAAGAATAGAGTAAAAGTTTTTTAAGGAATAATTATGTATCAGAAACCAGAAGCCAACTTTATATTAACTTGAATAGAGAAATAATAAGATTATTATCATTGCACTCATTAATATGGTTGGGTGCTTGCTGTCACCACTATTATTTAACTGTGTTTGGAGGTCCACTAATTCAGTTAGAAAGAAAATAAGTTGTTTAAATACTACACTATTTTCCAACTAGAAGGGAAGAGACCAAATAATTGTCATTTGTAAATTATATGGTTGTTTGCCTAGAAAAGCTGTAGAGAAGAGTCAAAACATATTTCAGGTAATGAGAGAATTGAGTAAGGTGGCTGGAGTTAAGGTACATTACAAAAATTAGTAGGTTTTCTCTAGTAGCAATAGCTACCATTTGGAAATGGAAGATGGGGTAGGAGGACCTGTTTACAATAACAGGACACTTTAAAATACCTGGAACATACCCACATGAAGAAAAATATAAAATTGCTAAAGGATGCAAAATGTGGCCTTAAAAATAGAGGAGCCTGTGCTGCTGCCTGTATTGTATCTGGGGTATCTGGTTGAAGTGCCCCCTACATACCTGACCCCAGGGAATCACGGAAGAGGGGCGGACCCAGTTGGTAAGGGTCATGCAGGGTATGGAGGGGTGGAGCGGTATGATCAGGCCACCCAAGATGGCTGTTGTCTTGCTCTCTGTACATCCCCTGCTCAACCAGTGCCTGCTTCACCTACACCCCATTCACATGACTGACCTTCCTGCAGGCTTGCCCCAGGCCCCAGCTGGTGATTGCTCTCATCAATGGGGCAGTGAGGGACTTCCCCCTCTGCTAGTTTCTGCTGACTTCCCTGGTAACTAATGAGCCCGCCTGAGGTAATTCTCCCTATAACTAGCAAATCTCCCCTTCCACCGGGAGGGAAACCCGCTGCCATGTCCTGCCCGCTGTCCGCCGCACATGGTGGGGTGTCACTCCAGGACCTTGCTTCAGGTGTGTAAGATCCCCCAATCCATTAAACCATTGATGTCTCTGTTGCTGAAAAAAATAAATAAGGAAGCCTAGGTGAGAAGACTTTAATATCGTAAAAATGTCTTTCTTTAAAAAGTTGATATATAATACAATTCCAGTCATAACCTTAAATTTTTTTTGGAGCCCGGAAAAATGATTCTAAAGTTTGCAAAGTAAAAATTTGCAAAAATATTTAAGAAAATTATGAGTGAGGATTTACCTTACCATTTGTTAAAACTTACTGTAAAGGTGTTGTAGTGATCATAGTATGATAGCACAGGTATAGATGTAGGCAAATAGAACAGAATAGAGACTAGAAAAAGATATAAGAAAATATGGAATCTTTTAATGATAAAAGTTATAAATTTGGGGGGAAATGGTAAATAACTCAATAAACGCATAGGTATAACTAGGAACCTGTTTGGTAGAAGAGAAATTGAATTAGATCCCTAACTCACATCTTGTACATGAACAGTTATAGGTGGATTAAATATCTAAATGTAAAAAATAAACATAAATTAATAGAAAATATAGAACAAGAGAGATCTTAATTAAGAATGGAAACATAAGCAATAAAGGCGGGGTGGGAAACAGGATTTATTTCGTAAAAATTTAAAACATTCATCCTGCAGAAAATAAACTAAGGGAAAATATTTGTACACGTAAGGGGAGAAGGTTAATATCCCTGTACTATAAGAATTCCTACAAACAATAAGAAAAAGACAACGCTTTTTTTTTTTTTTTTTTTTTTTTTTTTGGTGGTATGCGGGCCTCTCACTGTTGTGCCCTCTCCCGCTGCGGAGCACAGGCTCCGGACGCACAGGCTCAGCGACCACGGCTCACGGGCCCAGCCGCTCCGCGGCATGTGGGATCCTCCCGGACCGGGGCACGAACCCATGTCCCCTCCATCGGCAGGCGGGCGGACTCTCAACCACTGTGCCAACAGGGAAGCCCGAGAACTCTTTTTTTATATGGGCAGAGGATGTAATCATTCAATTTATTGAAAAGGAAATGTAAATGACCAGTAAAACAAACGAATGACTGGGGGACAATTTAGGGAAAGTTGAAACAAAATCCACTCTTGCCCATGCATGTGTTAGTCTCTAGCTATCTCTGTTAACAGTTTGGTTATTTATTTATTTTCTCCATTATTTGTTCAACACATATTTGCACCTAGTATGGTGGTGCCTGCTCTCCTCTATGCCTAATTTTTCACTGTTAAAACAACTCTGATAAACATACTTATTCATATCCTGTAAACACGCGCAACAGTTTCTCTAGGTCAAGAGTCAGTCTATTTCTTAAAGAGCTGTATGGTAAATATTTTAGACTTTGTGCCCATATGGTCTCTGTCGTAACTACTCAGCTCTGCCTTTGTAGCAAGAAGGTAACCATAGATGACAATATATAAGCAGATGGGCATGGCTGTGTTTCAGTAAAACTTAATCCATAAATACAGATGGCTACCAAGCCCTAATTTGCTGATTAATTAATTAAATGTCTTATTCTTATGTATTTGAGAGATATTTTTATATCCTCTAGATACCAATCTGTTATACATAATGTATATCACAACCCCTCCCTGCCAAATATGTTACCTACTTTAGCTTCATGATAACAAAATTAATTTTTGTTATAAAGCTAAATTAATTGTATTGCCATATTTGTGCTTTCTTTGACCTATTTATACATCTTTTCCTATCCTTAAAGATACTCTTGTATTTTTTTCTAATAGTTTTAATGTTTTATTTTTACAATTAGGTCTTTAATTCATCTCACATTTGCTATTATATATGTTTTGGAGGTAGGAATCTAATTATATATACACACACACATATGATTTTTATATCAATGTATATATAATTATTTAATATATACAATATAATTTTGATTATTTAATAAATATATATTATTATATAATATATAATTATGTATACACACATACATATACATAACACAGATATACACAGATTGATGCATATTTATGTTGTTAACTAAATTTCCCATTATCACTTGCTGGATGTGCCACTGTTTTCCCATGGATTGGTAATGCTGTCTCTGGCATCTGAAAAGTTTGTATTTGCTGGATATTTGTAGACTCGATTCTATTAGTCTGTTTTAGCTTCTCTGTCCCTGCGCTGATAACCACATTTGTCTTATTTGCTATAGCTTTATTAATCTTGGTACCTAGTAGGGTGAGTCCTTCTTATTTTTGTTTGTAAAAATGTGTTTATATTCTGTTTTGTTACTCATCAAATTCAAGGAAAAGCCTTACGGGCTTTTGATTAGAATTACATTGAATTTATAATTAATTTGAGGAGAATTTATATCTTTACAATATAAAGATTGGTTCTTGGTTGAAAGGGTGACTCTGGAGCCAGTCCTCTGGGGTTCTAATTCCCTACCTGTCACTTACCAGCACTGTGATCTTGGGTAAACTCTCTGTCTCAGTTTTCCCATTGGTAAAATACAAATAATGATTCCCTGTAAAATGTGAGGATTAAATGAGTTAATATATGTAAAACACTTGGAATCCAGCAAACAGAAAACACTCAGGAAATATTAGGTATTGTTATTAATTTTTTAATTACATTTATCTCCGTTCATTTAGGTCTTATTTTATGTCCTTCAAAAAAGTTTCATAATATTCTTCATAAAACTCTTACACATCTTTTTTTTTACATTTATTCCTAGATATCTTACAGTTTTTGTTGCATTGTGAATGGGATTTTCTTTAATTACATTACTAAATCTGATTTATGTGTCCAGCAGTCTTCCTGAACTCTTTTAGTAGATTGTCTCAGTAGTTTAATAAGATTTTCTTGGATTTTCCATTCAAACTGTTTTTTTGTTGGCAAGTAATGACAGTTTTGTCTTTTCCAGTCCTTCTTTTCTCTTTGTTTTAAATAAGAGCTCTAATACATCTTTGAATAAAAAGCAGTGATAATTTGTCTTCTTCATCTTCTCTTGGCTCTAAAAGGAATCCTTCTGAAATTTCACCATTAAGTATGTTGTTTACTCAAGGTTTTTGATACCATTTATCAAGTTAAGGAATTTACCTTCTATTCCTAATTTGTTGAGAGTTGTCCTGAATTCGTATTGAACTATATTATTATATTATTTTTTAAATCAGTTTTGCAAAAGTAATACCATCTCCATATGCCAGAACAAGTAAGCATTTTTTGTTAAACATAATTTCATAAATATTCAAGATTGTCATATAGAGAATGGAAAGAAATACTACTGGCTTCTTCCATTTTCGTGTTGAGTAACAGAAGCACAAAGGTTGTTGTGTCAGAAATCATCAAGGCGCAGACTTGACTTCAGGATTTAGTGACCTAATAGCAATACAGAAATGTAGTTCTGTGGAGAGGAGTATTAGATATGATTTCCTTTTTCATCCTCTGAATATTAAAAATTTTGACTTAGGACTTTATTGGTGAAGGGGAGCTAGTTACATAGAGGAGAACAATATTACATATCCACTAATTGTATGTAGTTTCATTGCTTATGTAATGCCAGGAAGTATTTACCATCTGATGTAGAGGTGATCACTCATCTTTACAGTCTCTTTAGAAAGCTACCAAAAGCACAGGTATTTCTTCTTCAGCATGTTTTCATGATGAAAATTGGATGTGGTAAAATTTCTTAATTAAAGAATACTATTTACCTTAGGTTCACTATTTTCAGAATTGTGATATAGGATCAGCACAGTTGTAGTGTTACAAAGGAAGGAGAGTAGGGAGGAAGGAAGGATTCTTTTTTGGTGAGTGCAACTTTTTTGAGCTTTTCTGTGTTTGTTTATCATAACATTGGAAAATAGCAACCGTAAGCATTTTTACTATGGCAATAAAATTGTAAGAACATTGTATTTAAACAAAATTAGATATGCTCAAAGGGTAAGTTTTGTATGTAAGTTTTATAGCTATATATACTTAAAGCTATTTGTTACAGTACTTTTATTATTTATCTATTGAGGTATACATGCTCAGAAATCTTTTATTGATGGGTGCATAATCATAAAAGTTTGGAAATGACTCCATCTAGTTTCTAACACTTTTTTCCCCATTGAAACAATTACTCTTTTTTTTTTTTCTTTTTGCGGTACGCGGGCCTCTCTCACTGTTGTGGCCTCTCCCGTTGCGGAGCACAGGCTCCGGACGCGCAGGCTCAGCGGCCATGGCTCACAGGCCTAGCTGCTCCGCGGCATGCGGGATCTTCCCGGACCGGGGCACGAACCCATGTCCCCTGCATCGGCAGGCAGACTCTCAACCACTGTGCCACCAGGGAAGCCCCCGGCAGTACTTGTTTTTAAAACATATACTTGAAAACACTCTTCCCACATTTTTTCAGTTCCACATTGTTTGATCTGTAGTTACTGCTTTGTGTTCACTTGAAGGTCTCAGGATATGGGCAGAGCAGTAGCTCTTACCATCATTATGATCTTAGTGTTGGGAATAAAAATAATGTTTAGCTGCAGTAGGTATTTGGGAAAGCTAAATCTGAAAGGTACCACTGACTTTTAATAAGAATAACTTTGGGTAAGATTATTCTTACTGTTTAAAGCCTGATGTTTATTAAAACAAATCAGCTGCTCTTTCCCTTTACAGGTATACCATGCTTTGTATAAATCCATTACACTGTACTGACACCTGAATTAATATAGAACATTACATTCAGATGTAATTTTCTCTTTGTTGAAGTAGTTTTTGAGACTAGCTTTTAAATACCAATTTCACACTATATGCATCATACCATTTGATATATGACTTGTATTTTTATAGTTTTCCTAAGTAGATCTAGAGGTCTGTTGTATAAAGTTAGATTTATTAAAAAAATTGAACTGATCCTAATATGTCATCAGTGTATGAATATATATACATATCTAATTCTTATATAAGAGTGGTTTGGTATAACCCCAAGCTGTTAAATGGTAACCATAGTACAGTTATTTAAACCAATGTTTTTAATAAAAATAGATCTAATTTGGTTACTTATTTTATTTTAGCGAAGAATAACCAGAATTCAACAAATAGAGAAGGACATACTTCGTATACGACAGCTTTTACAGTCCCAAGCAACAGAAGCAGAGGTTAGTAAATTGTCTCTTTTGTTTGCAGACATAAATATAGGTAGTTATTCTAAGAAGAGGAAATAGGTATAATTAACGTGGCATCATTGAAATAGGTGCTCTAAAGAATTGAGACACTTAATAAGTTTATAAGTTTTTTCACTAAATTAAATAGATTTCAAAAACCTTTACTACTTTGGTTTCTTCATAACTTTAAGGCAGTTAAAATTTATAGAGCCATAAACACAGATACCTTACTTCAGTTATCTGTTTTCATATAATCATATAACTAACTTAATTTGGCTACTAACAATTTGTAAATAAGCTATCTCTTTGTTTGTAATCCATAGTAAGAATTGATCATACACATATATCTATGCTTACTCTACAAACTCCATTAAAATGACAGTAAAAGGATAAAATGAAAAATCACAAATACCAGGGGAGGTGACATCAATAAAATTTGGGGAGCTGGAAAGCAGGTAAACAAATTACTCTTCTAGCTTATGGTAGAGAGTTGACCCCTGAGTCAGCAGTAGGAAGTCAGGAAGCAACCCATTTTACACTGTGGAGTCCTACAAGATTCCAGAATTGGTTACACCTGGATGTGCTACCTCTGGATGTGGGGATTAAGAAAGAGGTTAAAAGCAAGAGGATGACTGAAAGTTTAAGAAGCCGGTGGAGCCTCCAGAACCTCTCTTCAACTCTGCATGGCTAAGTGACTGCTACTTTCCAGTCTCAGCAAAAGCTGAGAGATTTATTCTGGAAAAGGTAAAACAAAGGGTTTTTGGATAAGGGTAATCCTAGTATAGTTGAAGTTGGGAGGGAGGTATCATACTAAAAACTGAAATAAGTGAAAATTTCCTTACTGAATGCTGAAACCCTCATTGGCATCCAGCTTTATAATACAGGCAAGTTTCTAGAAGCAACTTCTCTAAGAAATGTGACTAACCCAGGAAGAGAGACCTAAAGGTACTGACACTGGAGGATTCCTCAATAAAACATCCCAGCTAGACCACCCTACTGGATGGCTACAGCTGACAGACTCCATCCTTTAGGCATAGAGCTTCATAGGCAGTCCATTCCTAACTATGGCTAGACAGCTAAAGACCACCAGAGATTTTAAGAAAGTTTCTAATAAAAAAGATTTAATGGAAATAAAGACTATGCAAGAAGAAGAAAACTTAAGAAAAATAGAACTAACATTAATATTCTCAAGATAAAAGATAATTCATCCATAAAGTGAGAAAATGATGGTATACAAAAGGAACATTCAGAGAATTTAAAAAAGAGTTCTTGGGAATTAAAATTGTAATAGTAGAAATGAAAAACTCAACAGAAAGGTTAAAAGATAAATTTCTCAGAAAATAGCACAAAGGAATAATGCAATGGAAAATAGAAAAGATAAGAAAGTCAGAGAATTATTCTAGGAAGGTTCAATATCCAAATAAAAAGGGGGTTCCAGAAAGAGAATGGACAAACTAGAGGAAGGAAATCCTAAAAATAAATTAAAATTCCCCAGAACTGAAGGGCATAGTTTTCCAAATAAAATGGTCTCTCCAGTATCCAGTGCCACAGATGAAAATCCCACACTAGGTACATCATAATGAAATTTCATCTCACTGAGAATAAAGAGAAAATCTTAAAACCTTGTAGAGAAGGAGAAGAAAACAAATTTCACACAAAGAAACAGGAATACAAATGTCTTTAGGTATATGAACAGCACAGTAGAATCTGGGAAGTAGAGCAATTTCTTAAAACTTCTGTAAGATTATTTTCAGCTATGTTCCCAAACCAGTTCTCTGACACCACTAGTTGTCCTACAGTTCAAATCAGTTCTGACACTACCCAGACTTAGCGTAGACCCTACATTTAAGGGTAAAGTCATTCACAAGACTGCCCTCACTTCAGGTACCAGGCAAGTTTCAGGTGTCCCAAACCATCTGCACTCTGCCCAGCTTGTTATAAATTCTACCCAAGTGGGTGTACTGCAGTACAGTTCAGTTCTGACATTAACTACTTGGAGGGAGCCTAGACCTTACAGGTTAAGGGCAGAGCCCTTCACAAGACTACTCCCACTTCAGATGCCAAGCCTCCCATACTTCTGCAAATTTGGGGTGTCCTACAACAGCCTTAGGTTTGATAATTCACTTCAGTGACTCAGAAGTCAGTAAAAGTTCTACACTTATGATTACAGTTTTATTATAAAGGATGCAGATCAGGAACAGCCGAGTGAGACACATAAGGCAGGACCTAGAGAAGGTGAGGGTGGAGGATGCAGAGCTTCCGTGATCTCTCATGGAATCTGGACACATCACTCTCCCAGGACATCTTTGTGTTCACCAAGCAGGAAGCTGCATTGAGCTTCAGTGTCCAGAGTTTTTATTGGGGTTTCATTATGTAGGCATGCTTGATTAAACAAGTGGCTACATGATTGAACTCAGTTTCCAGCACCCTTCCCATCCCTGGAGGTCAGTCTTGACTAGTTCAACCATCTAGTCACATGGTTGGCCTTTCAGGTGACCAGCACCCATCCTGAAGCTATCTAGGGATCCCCCATGGGTCACCTCATCTGCATGGCAAGCTCAAGAAATTCCAAGGGTTTTTGAAGCTCTGTGCAAAGAACAAAGGGACAAAGACCATATATATATATATTTTTTATTATACCACACGAGCCTATAAATTTATCTCTGGTCAACTGCCTATTAAATTTGAGAGTAGAATGCATTTTCAGATAGTCAAAGTATCAAAAATATGTATTTCTCTATACTGTTTTCTGGAAGCTATTAGTGGATATAGTTAAAATGAGAAGGTAAAGCAAGAAAAATGAAGATTTGGGATCCATTTGGGATCCAAGACATAAAGAATACAATACAAGAGAAAGACATGAAAGACTCCCCAGAATGAAGATGAAGGGAGATTCTGAGACTAATGATAGAGAAAGTAACGAGTCCCTGTTGGTACAGTTGAGAAGATTCTGGGAGAGATGAGTCTAAGAAGATGAAATCAGTAGACTACTTAATGTTTTTGAATTTATTGAAAGGAAAAGAAATTTACACAGTAGGAGAGAAACTGTGAGGGTGTCATAAGTACACAGAACACCAAATAAACAAAACAAAAAAAAGATACTCCATGGACAACGAGAAGTTGTAAAGGAAAGAATCATAGTATACTACCTGTCACTCATGACTATAATTTAATAGTCAAAATAATGCAAATAGGGAACAACTTATCTAACTATAAAATGTAAATTGGACAAATAGAGGAACAGGATGAGTGTGGTGTGTTAAGGGTGGAATATTGATAAAAGAGAAATCAGTCCTCATCTTACATAATAGGAAATCAATAAATGAGGCATTAAACTAAGAAAAGCAGAACCTAGCAACACAAGCAGGTTATTTAGAGATAGAGAAGTGAGTTCAAAAAAAAAAAAAATCCTCTGAAGGAGATGAAACTGTTTGCCTTAAGGTAGCAGGAAATGGGACAGAGCAAGCAAGTGTGAAAGACCACTGTTCATTGTCACAAGGCTTTAGAACTAATGATTATTTCAACTGTGTGTAACTATGATAAAAATAAAACATAAAAGAGCCAAGGCCATCATTTAGAAGATATTTATACTTATCTTCCTCTATAATCTGGGTTGGCTTAATAATTATACCTTGATAGTGGTGATTAGTAAAGAACTTAAGAGGAGCTTAGAGAAAGCAGAAACGTTGGTAGCAGTATATCCTAGGAAAAGTCATGTTTAATATTCTATCAGTGAGTAACAAGAAGACCAAGCAGTGGAAGTATGGGGAAGGTACTATCTCAGTGGAACACAAATACTGTATATTTATACATGCTAGAAACTGAATGTTACTGAGGCTTGTGCGTATTTGTCAGCTCTGCAGCTGAAATTTGGTTTTGATCACCATATAGAAGGATGGGGGTGTAAAAGACCATCCCCTCACCTATCTGTTTATAGCCAGCGAATTTGGGCACTTCTCACCTTGTTTATAGGTAAATAATAAGAAAACCTACATGGGTCTTAAGTGAACTATTGCTGAATAAGTCTCGGAGAAGCATGTGGGAGGCTCAGAGAAAATAAATTTTCAGGAAATTATTTGCTTCTTTAGTCAACTGCAGGAAGACCTGTCTCTGTGCAACAGGAGCAAAAGAAAAGCTGAATAAAAATCCACATTGAACAATAAACAACAGAATTGTTGCTAGGAAAAATTGGCTCAGTATTTGGGGACAGATTTGAGACACATCAATGGAAAGTTTCTAACATGCAGCCAGATTCAGATTCACATTCCAGATCATGAAAAAAGAAGAGACTGCAAAGAGTGAAACATCAGCATAGTGCTGTTTTCTAAATATAATTCCTAAAAACACAATGAAGCATTTACTGATATTTTTAAATGTTTATGATATACAAAGTAGCATGTACACTTTGATCCCATTTTTTAAAAGATATACACAAACATAGTGTATCAGAAATAATATGAAAAGGCAGATAACCATTCTTAATACCTCCTAGTTTTTCTGGTTTGGCCAGTTGTTTTGTAACTTTTTTATACTAACGATGTCCAGTTTTTATAATGAGAGAAAACTTTTGTATACAAAACAAATTTGTCATGTCCTGTCATGGCCAGCACATATTTTCCACCTGTGGAAAATTTGATCAAATAATGAACAGTTCTGTTTTGAGCCAAAAACAGTGCAGGCCCATTTATACACAGGGAAGACAACTGTTTCTAATGTTAAAAGTACAGGTTTTGAAAGTGTAGAGTCCTTTTTAAGACTATATTTGTCCATGCTTGCCTTTTTAAATATCTTTGGATTCAGTACATCTAAATTTGAAATATGTCGAAACATGTATTTGCTAAATAGGCAGTTTAAGTACAGTGCAATAGTCATATTGCTAAAAGTAGTTTAACCTGGCTGTCCTAAGTCAATATAAACCAAATATTTGTGTGTCCTTTTTGCAATGTTGACTCTTAAGGACTTTAAAAAAAAACCCAAAAAACCAGTATCTCTTT